ATGAGAGAGAAGGCTTGAGGGCGGGGGCTGCCGAAAGAAGAGCAGCTCCTCCTTTCGGCTTTTTGGCTCTCATGACCTGAGGAGGAGAAACCACAGCTGACCCACCTGTTTAGAAGGAAGACAACACGGTGAGCAAATTTCCTCGATGGGTATCTAATGCAGACCCCGTGCCATGCTCCGGAAAGGCGTGTGGCCAAAAGAAAGAAGTGAGGGGCCCGGAGTCCTAATTTTCTGAGACTCTCAGGTGTTTCTCAACTCCTTTCTGGGAGAACAAGTTCTGTCTATGAGAGACTAGTCTATGGGAGCTAGAGGTTTTATCAAAGAAGACCCAGAGTCTTAATTAATGATTGATTAAAGCCTAGATTGGAGTCGCCACAGAATTACAGTACCACAGTCTCTCATCCAAGATTCAGAAATGCAAAGTGCTGTGAAAATAAAAGGTTCTTTTTTTGTAACTCATCTGATAAGCAAAACCTGATCCAGCTTCTTCTGGTGACCAAACCTGACCTGGATTTAAGAGAGAGTGTTAGAAGGTGCTGCCCCAAGCCCTTAGGTGATTATGAAATATTTAGTGTATGCACCACACTGTCTTTCCAAAATCTGAAACATTGTGAATTCCAAGAATACCTACCTCCAGGAGTTTTGGTAGTGGATTGTGGACCTATGTTATGTATCTTTATGTGTTCTTTTGTCCTTTTGTTCTAAATGCAGGTTAAGTTATGTCTCACACGGTATAAGCAACTAGTCCACAGTATTTTAATAAGCAGCTACACATTCCCAGAAAACGCACAGTTTGCCAGACCATGTATGTTAGCTTGCAAGGTCAGCCACCAGAGTTTGGAAGAGCCCACAAGGTGGGCTTTCCACACCAGGAAACTACCACGGCTGGTAAGGAACTGCCAGGATTATATGTAAACTATGACAGCCTCACACACAAAGAAATCACCTGAGGAGCTTTAAAAAATACTACCCTAAAATGGATCCACTTCAGTGACGACTAACAACCTTACCTCTATGAACTCTCACATTTAAATTTTTATCAGTCTCACACATTATCGTTTTCATTTAAATCCTGGTGAGTTTTAGAATCTCGGCACCAGACATACCTGCACAATCCCCAATTCTGAAAATTTTTATCAGTGAAAAGAAACCCCCAAACAAACAAAAACCTTAATATATACTGCTCATCCCCTTTTCCACTTCATATTTGGTGGAATCATTCTATTTCAAACACACCGTGAAAGAATAGGCACTTGGCAATCATTACTTCTGGATGAGTCTGGAAGGTAAGAACTCAGCTATCTGCTTAGAAAAAACACTTATTAAGAGCTCAAACCCACGGGTGGAGCCTCTGGGATCACAAAATGCTCTGCTTGTTTTTTAAGGATTGATAATCAAATATTTTCTTGTCCTATATGCCAAGCTAATTTGTTCCAAATGTAACACTCTTTAGTGGAATGTGGATGACAAATATCCATACTCAAGGACCTACAACTTTTAAATGTTATATCTAGTCTCCCATGTGTATTTGGGCACCACATTAAAACATCATCACTTTGACTTTTTGAAATATAAAATAGATCGGGAATAATGTCTTCCCCAGCTGCTGCTGTTTAAATGTAGGTATTTGGCCCAGAGTTCTCTTATGTCTGTCAGAATGCCTGAAGTATAAATTTTGTGTGTACATGGATTTTGGGTAAAAATACAACAAAAATTGCATATGTGCATGCGTGCACACACACACAATGAGAGAGGAAGCATTTAAAATGAAAATAAAATAGGGGGCATGTGGGTGGCTCAGTTGTTAAGCATCTGCCTTTGGCTCAGGTCATGATCCCAGGGTCCTGGGATTGAGCCCCGCATCAGCCTCCCTGCCCAGCAGGGAGTCTCTTTCTCCCTCTCCCACTCCCCCTGCTCTGTTCCCTCTCTCTCTCTCTCTCTCTTTCTGTCAAACAAATAAACAAAATCTTAAAAGAAAATAGGAAAACAGTAGCTACTTCTTGTCAAACCAAAAAAAAGAAATAATTGCCTATATTTACAAAAGAAGCAAATAATAAGGAGGAAGAAGAGTTATTTAGGGTAAAATAACCAGGAATTATAACTAAGATTCATGGGAATAAAAAATTGGCATTGTGTGGCAGAGATGACTTGTGGCCACAAACTTTTTCTCCATTCTTCCTCAGTAAAAAAATATATAAATAATCCTGATTTTATAACGGCAGCAATGAACTCAACAAAAAGATGTTCTTTCCCAAACTCCCTTGCAGCTAGGTTTGGCACGGGATTAAGTTCTGATCGATAATCTGTAAGCAGAGTGTGGGGGACGGGTAAGGAGAAGAGAAAGGGGAAAGGCTTCCCTAAAGCAGCAGGCTCTGTTTTCCATGCCTTGTCCCTTCTGCAATAAGGAGCTCCAGAGTCAACTTGGACCATGAGGTAAGAATGGAGCAAGTCCCTGATGTAAAGCAAAAAGATGAGAACTCAGTTCCTAATAACTTTGTGGAGCTGCTGTATTAATTCTGGACTGGCTATCTCTGGACTTCTTTTACATGACAGAAGCAACTCGTGTGTGTTTATTGTTGTTGTTGTTGTTGTTGTTACGGTTACATTCAGCTCTATCAAAAACCTGAGACCGACAATTGGAGAAAATAAATCAACTGTGGGATCCAGGACTCGGGCCCTCTCTTGCCACTCCAGGTGTGGAACCTGCAAGAGCAGCACGGGCCTCACTCAGGGGCTTGCTAGAAAAGCAGTCTCAGGCCCCACCCAGGCCTCCTGAATCAAAATCCAAACTTTAACAAGATTCACGGGTGACCTGTGGGTTGGTTTAAAAAGTTTCAGTGGTGAAGGAAAAAAAATGAAACAAGATGGGATCGGGAGGGAGACAAACCACAAGAGACTCCTAATATCACGAAAAAAAATTAAGGGTTGCTGGGGGGTGAGGCGGGGAGGGAGAGGATGGTTGGGTTATGGACATGGGGGAGGGTATATGCTATGGTGAGTGCTATGAAGTGTGTAAGCCTGACGATTCTCAGACCTGTACCCCGGGGCAAATAATACATTGTACGTTAATAAAAATAATTTTTAAAAAAGTTTCAGTGGCACTAACAGAGTGAAAGCTCTATGAAAATCCAAACCAAATATCATGGATTTGAATGAACTGCTGGGCAGTGCTCTTAGGACCTAGATTTCTATCCTGAGGAAAAACAACAACAACAACAATAACACTGAGAAAATATGGCCTGATTTTGAGATCAGACATCAAACATACTATGTTCAAATGTTAAGTTCCTCAACAGGTTCAAAATGCACTAAAAGAAAACAAATACAAAGGTTATAAAAAATTAAAAAACAACTAAACTAAATATGGACTTCTAAAGATAAAATTTGTAATAAACTAGAGTGCTTTACACACAATGATCAAGCTTCTCAAATCCAGAAACAATAACCCTTTCAGTCATTTATTATACCAAAGCTTTTTTATTCTCATTTTTATGTTACTAACCACCAATTCTCTGATAAGTTCGGTAACATTTCAACTGCCTAACTAAAAATTAATTTATCTCCATAGCATTTAAATGTAAAAATTGTACTTTCAGCGTACACGTTCAATCTGGAAATTTTCTCCTCCACTCCCCAAAAGGACTCCCAATCAGCAAATGTAATTTCTACATGAACAAGATGTTTTGAATCAATGAAGTTCAGTTAATTTCCAAATAAGTTTTCTATAGCAGTATTTTAAATAAAATGTATATTTAAAAAATGACTGGATCTTAACTGTACTGCTGATAAGTTTTACAATCCTATCCAACCCTGTAACCACCACCCCAATCAAGGTACAAGACATTCCTATCCTCCCCAGAAAGTCCCCTTGAGCTGCTCTGCAAGTCTTTCCCACCTCTGCCTTCCCACCAGAGGCAGCCACTTGTGTGTGTGTATGTGTGTGTGTGGGGGGGGGGGGGTTCTCACCCTGATGTGGCCAGAAAATGGAACCAAGAATGATTCTACAATTTAAGGCAGATAAAATAGCATTAAGAACTATAGAGCTTTTTCTTGCCTGCAGGTGCTCTTACCATGCTTTAATCTTCAAAAAACGCTTGTCTAGGGGCACCTGGGTGGCTCAGTGGGTTAAAGCCTCTGCCTTCAGCTCGGGTCATGATCTCAGGGTCCTGGGATCAAGCCCCGCATCGGGCTCTCTGCTCAGCGTGGAGCCTGATTCCTCCTCTCTCTCTGCCTGCCTCTCTGTCTACTTGTGATCTCTGTCTGTCAAATAAATAAATGAAATCTTAGAAAAAAAAACAAAAACCTTTGTCTAATGTGAGATAGCGAGGAATACAGAACACCTTGAGCTTAGTTCAGTCAACAGTGTGAGCGCTGATACAATTTGCTAAAACACAGGGTCTCCTTAAGTGGATTCTTGATCTGTTTTAAGTAGGGATAAATAGGTTTTAAATAGGTATTCCTTCTTTGGGAAAATCCTAATTTCAAATAGCGCCTCCTGCCCTCCCATACCAGATGCCAAAAAGAGCCAGAACATAGAGTGATTTGCAGTTGAAAGTACAAAGTTTACTTTTTAAAACCTTTGATTATGCCATGTTATTCTTTTGGATTGAAGGTGGGAGTTAGGTAGACAAAACATTGTCTCTTTTTTCCTAAACCAATATATTTAATTAAAAATTAGTGCACAGAGAGGGGCCTCTGAGCACTGTCTTCCTTCTTTGAATCGACTTACTCCATCAATTTCTCAGTAGTTCACATTTCTCGATTTTAAGGACATGGATAAAGACAATATATGTGATCCTTACAAAAATTATGAGAAAGGCACTGTTGGGTTTGGGTACACTGCAAATGTAAGACGCCACTAATATCAGCAGTTTTCATTGTAAATCCAAGTAATCAATTCTTGGTTTTTTTTTTCTTAAAGCAAAAATAATGAGACCACATACAGCGCAACTCCCAGTTACTCTTAACCAACATGTCATTTTCCTGGAGAGTAACTGTATCTTTCATTAATGGCGCATCAGCATTGGAGGCGTCAGAGCTCTGTTTTGGGGTCGGCTGCTGCATACTTGGGTGCCAGTTCAGTGATGAGATTCACGTAGTCCGTTTTCTCCGCACAGGCTCTGCACTCCTCTCCCCACTTGTGTAATATCTGTTTCAGCTCTGCTACTCTCATCTTTGACAGGTCCACTGATGCCAGGTCCAATTTCTTTTCTAAACAACGAAAAGGGAAAGCACCATTTAAAAAACAAAAACAAAAACAAAAAACTGTGAAACACTTAGAAAGGCCAGTGGTGTTACTTATCTTGGTGCCAACTACCTTATGTTCCAAAGTGGGGAACAGTTCCAATTTCTATGGAAACCAAGACATAGCTAAGAAAAATGTGTTATGTACAAAGCTATTGGGATCATTAGTGTTCTATTCAATTTGCTTTCCATGGAATTATACTTGCTTCAAAACAGGAGCCTGTGTAGCTTTACAGGATTTTGTGACCACTCCATGGCTTCTCAAGACCATAATGACTAAAATGACAACACTGCATCTTAATTGCTGCTCCTAAGATACAGAGAAGAGTATTGATAAATGGCAGTGCCTTGGGATGGCCTTGAGCGTGGCCAGCTGAAAGCACTAGATTGTAATTAACTAGAAAGTAATGGTTCGAGTTCTGTAAGAACACATGTCTGCATTAAAACTGATGGGCATACCTATTACAAGGCCCTATGGAGTTTTTAAATAACAAATGTAAAGACACCAAAAACATCAATGAAATTAAGAGCATTCTCATTGGTCCTTAATTGTTTGGGAATCTCTGCCTGAACTCACCTGATCCTCTGTCCCTACTGGGATTACAAAATCATCACAGCATTCATTGGTAGCCCTTTGGGATATATCCACTTCTCTGATGCTAGTGCTTTGGTGCCAGCCAATCTGGCTCCTAACCTTCTTGCCAATAACATTTGTTATTAACATCCAACTCCTCTAGAAAGACTGCTGTTTCCACTTATTATCTGCAGACAATGTCAAGAACGCAGCTACTTCTCCATGGTCTACCCCAGAAACAGGAAAAACAAACAAACAAAGCTCATCTATAACATACTCATAATTGTAATTTCCCTTTCAGAAAGGAGAAATTCTTTTCGTTCCCCCACCCCCAGGACCAGTTGTGTGTTTGGACATGGATACAACATTGAAGTTTGCTTATTTAATAATTAGTGGCAGCCCAGGACTTTTGCAGCTTGATTTCTCTCAGAGAGCCCTTTCCTTTTTTCCCCTGAATGATAGAACACAGCATTTAAAAGTCTCTTAACGGACGCCTGGGTTGCTCAGTGGTTTAAAGCCTCTGCCTTCAGCTCAGGTCATGATCCTGGAGTCCTGGGATCATGCCCCACATCAAGCTCTCTGCTCCATGGGGAGCCTGCTTCCTCCTCTCTCTCTCCCTGCTTCTCTGCCTACTTGTAATCTCTGTCTGTCAAATAAATAAATAAAATCCTTAAAAAAAAAAAAAAGTCTCTTAACAACCATAACATGGTCATCAAGTGACTTATCAAAAACTTCCAGTATGTGTGCTCAAATCTAAAAGTTAGATTTTATACTTAGGAACAAATGTAACCAAGGAGGTGAAAGATCTATATACTGAAAACCACCAGACTTTGATGAAATAAACTGAAGAGATCACAAATGGAAAAACATCCTGTGTTCGTGGACTGGAAGATTAATACTGCTAAAATGCCCACCCTACCCGAAGCCATCTACAGCTTTAATGCAATCCCCATCAAAATTCCAATGGCTCAGGTCATGATCCCAGGGTCCTGGGATCGAGCCCCACATCGGGCTCTCTGCTCAGCGAGGAGCCTACTTCCCCCTCTCTCTCTGCCTGCCTCTCTGCCTGCTTGTGATCTCTGTCTGTCAAATAAATAAATAAAATATTAAAAAAAAAAGACCCTGAATAGCCAAAGCAATCCTCAGAAAGAACAAAGCTGGAAGCATTGCACTTCCTGATTTCAAACTGTACTACAAAGCTATAATAAAACAGTGTGGTACTGACATAAAAACAGACACATATACTAATGGGGTAGAATCAAAAGCCCAGAAATTGCATATAAGGTCAACTAATATTTGACAAAGGTACCCAGAATATACAATGGGGAAAAAACAGTCTCTTCAATAAGTGGTGTTTGGAAAACTGGATAACCACATACAGAAAAAATAAAACTGGACCCCTATCTTATATTGCTTAGGAAAATTAACTTGAAATGGATTACAAGTTAAACATAAAACCTGAAATCATAAAAATTCAAGAAGAAGACAAAGGGAAAGGCTCCTTGACATTGGTCCTGGTAATGATTTTTTGGATATGACACCAAAGTACAACAAAAACAAAAACCAATAAATGGGGCTATATCAAACTAAAAAGTTTCTTCACAACACAGAAGCCATCAACAAAATAAATGGCAAGTTATGGGATGTGAGAAAGTATTTGAAACTTATATATCTAATAAGAGGTTGATATCCAAAATATATAAAGAACTCATATAACCCAATAGCAAAAATATCTCAAATAATCTGACTAAAAAAAATAGGGGGAGGAACTGAATAGATATCCTCACAAAGATGACATACAAATGGCCAACAGGTCCTTGATAAGGTACTCAGCCTCACTAATCATAAGGGAAATGCAAAACAGTCTTACAATGAGGTATCACCTCACATTTCTTAGAATGGCTGTCATCAAAAACTTAAGAGATAACAAGCGTTGGAAACAATTTAGAAAAAAATCACTCTTGCTGGCAGTGTAAATTATTACAGCCACTATGGAAAAGAGTATGGAAGTTCTTTTAAAAATTAAAAGTAGAACTACCAAACGATCTAGCAGTCCCACTTCAGGGTATATATTGGAGGAAATGAAAATAGGATATCAAAGAGATACCTGCATTTCCATGTTCACTGCAGCATTATTCACAATAGGCAAGCTATGAAAACAACCTAAGTATCTATCAACAGATGAATGGACAAAGATGTGATGTTTGTGTGTGTGCACGTGTGTGTGTGACACACATGTATACACACACAATGGAATGTTATTAAGCTATGAGAAAGGAAATCTTGCCACTTGCAAGAAGAAGAATGGACTAAGTGAAATAAGTCAGAGAAAGATAAATACTGTATGATATCACTTATACATGGAATCTAAAAAAGCCAAACTAATAGAAACAGAGCATAGGATGGTGTTATCAGGGGCTGGTGGATAGAGAAATTAAGAAAATGTTGGCAAAAGGGTACAAACTTCCAGTTACAAAACAAGTTCTGGGAATTTAATGTACGCTGTGGTAGTTATGGTTAATACTGTATTATATACTTGAATATTCCTATGAGAGTAGGTCTTAAATGTTCTCATCACAGAAAAGATACGGTAATCATAAAACATGATGGAGGTGTTAACCAACACAATGGTGGTAATATTGCAATAGATAAATGTATCAAGCCAACATGTCATACACCTTAAACTTACACAATATTTTATGTCAAATATATCTTAATACATCTGGAAAAAATAAAAGTTAAATTTTAAACACTTTTTGTTATTTGGACAGTCAGCTACACCCTGTGCTCAGGGGACCCTTTAATTTTTATGGTGATTTCTATCCTTTAAAAAAAAATAGATCTAGCAAAAACATACTTTCAGGTCAAAAACCAAATGACACCTTCCTAATTGAAAACATAAACCATCTCTACACTTACCTTGTTTGTTAATTTCATGGCTGACTTAACAAAATACCTTTAAACATAGATGCTTTGATAGCTTAAATTATTAATATCCCACCAGTCGAAGCCCCTGTTCAATCTCAACTTTACTGCCAACCATAAGCAGGGAAGGAGAATTTAGAACTGCTGGTTTATTCGAGATAAATGCTTAAAGGAAAAAAAAAAACAAACAAACACGTTCTTCCAAGTGTCAGTAGTGTCTTTGAGTTTTTCTAGAGAACTTGGCATCTGGCTTTAATTTTAAAAGAGGAAAAACTCTGTAACCCAAAAACTGTAAGGAAAATGTAATTTTGGTCCCAAAATTAAAACTGGTTCATGGCTCCCCAGGGGCCTCTAGTGGCCAGCATTGCCAAAACATTAGTAACTCTGCATTTCTTTTCAATAATATCTGAATAATTTTTCTATTATTCAAGGATCCAAGTAGGATCCCTTGTACATAGCAGATGTTATTCCAAATACATCTGTCAAATAAAAGAATCAAGACAGGTTTGTTCCTTTTATGAATATTGTTTATATAAACTCAATGATTCCTGCCTCTACTTCACTGCTTGGAAGCCAATAAAAACAGATGCTTTCCCCATAATCACTACCTTGGAGATTAGGGCCTTAGCAAATTAAGAAATAGATTTGTCTTTGGTATCTTCTGACTTTAAACCTATTTAAAGCCAGCTTTGTCACTATGGTGCATAGGCATATTACACAGCTATGTTGGAAAATAAGACTAAAATAATTCAGAAGTTGGGTGCTAATTACTTAAGTAGTTTATAATGCTACAGTGGGTCTGTAACATAAAACAATGACTTAAGCAAAAGAAATGAGTCTTTTCTGGTAAAATCTCAGGTATTAAGGACAGGCTAAGGGAGGGATGCCCCCAGGCTTTCCACCCACCTCTTCAGTCTACCCAAAAGGCTCTCCCAGATGCAAATCATCTGTACTATATAGGAATAGATCTATATCGGTGAAATTCATAAGGCCAAGGATAATGTTTTAAATAGGACAGCTCCTCCCTTTCCTCACTGTTTATTTTAGGCATCCTCGATAAGCTTACTTCATCAAGCAAAACCTGACTTGATGTGAATAACCTATTTTTTAAATTTTAAAACTGGCAGGATGGTAGACAAATCTAGGGAAAAAAGGTATAGTCCATCTTTAAAACTTCAAAGTCCTGACATCGCCTTTGAATAGATCCAACTTTTGTCTTAATAGGTCACCAAGACCTAAATCACCATGAATAGCTGCTCCCTTTACATTTGGAATTTTTCCTTGACATACATAGTCGACATTGCCTTGGTGATTTAAGAGTTTAAATGTGGCTATCTGGGTTGGCAGATTTACCAAATGCTGATTGTGTCAGTATTCATTTCTCTTCCCCCAAAGTTGCTCAGATGGTATGAGGCACCATTCAGCAGCCCCGGAAACTACTGGTGAATGGAGATTTTCTTCCCTTCTCACACCAACTTTTTAGAAACAGGGACCCCAGTTTAGAGAATTGGCAGTGCTCTGGACATACTGGAAAAATACATCTGTCCCCATTATACCATATTTCAGTTCACAGATCTGGCTGTCCATCTTCTTGAGCTTCTCGCAAATCTTAGCCGCCGGCATATGCACACTCATTGGGCGAGCGACCTCACTGAGGATCTTCGTGGCTGCGTCCTTCGTTGCGCCTAGATAATAGCACTGAAGGAGTACAAAGGGAATTTAGTGTCCTGGGTGATGAAAAAAAGTAGTTAATATAGTTTGGAAAAGTGAGAAAGAGGTTAACCTAATTTTCATGGCCCAGCTATTAAATTTTAACTCCTGCTGACTAAGACACCAGGAAACAAATTGTTCCATCCCCGTGATCATGTTAATTAGAAGCGCCCTACACTTCACAAGAGGCTCAAAGACTATTAAGAGCCAACACTTGCTAAGTGTTTTCTCTGTGCCAGGCACTGCTCTCGGGCTTTAAAGGTCTTAACTTACTGAACTCTCACAACAGTCCTGTGAAGTAAGTACTGTAATTATCCCCATTTTACACCCAAGTCTACCGAAGGTCACCCGTTGGTAAGCAGAAGAGATGGAATTTAAAAATCTAGTATTTTGGCTCTAGAGTCCATGTCGTTCTCCATCATGCTATGCTGTCTTTCCAGCTGCCTCGCTGAGGTAATTTACACTTAAAAATATGAAACTTCATGGCACAAATGAATGTTGAGACTTTTACAGTGTTGTCAGTGAACAGTCTACAATGCAGATTTAACTGACAAACTGAACATCGAAATTGTAGGCAGAATGAATTGGCCGGCAATTATCTGTAGTGAACTAAAACACTATATTGAAAAGTCATCTGTGTAAACCCAGGAAACACCATTATAAGAGAACATAAATTCTTCATTAGTTATGTAGAAATGACTTGATAAAAATATTTTGACGGGTTTGACTAATAGTCTTGGTAACAAATAGAGAGTCTACCCACGCTTAACCCAGGACAGAAAATGCTCATTAGGAATCTGTGTAACTTTGCTTGCAACATGGAATTGCTTGTCTATTCAGAAAGCAAAATGAATGCAGATATATTCTAAATGAAAATACATCAGACTACATTTCACTGGAAGATCAATTTCTGCTTGCTATCTGCAATGAACTTGCTTGAGGCAAGCATTTGAACAGGAGAACATTAAGACAAAGATGAGAAATGAAACTATTAACAAGTTCTTCAAGCATAAAGGAAAAATGAACAGGGAAAATTTACCATACCAAGCGGTTTTCTTTTCCTTTGACATCCAAACAAAAGCTGACCAATTCCTTTTCTATGGTGTCCAGGGAAAAGTTGACTCCTCTGGTTATCAAGGAATTATAGAATCGGTTCAAGAATTCTTTACAAACTAAAAGGATCAAAGAAATTGTGTAGTTAGGTAAGTATAACCCGGACCACAATGTGTATGCCCCACTCACAAAATAAAAAAGTTAAATATGATTCAACACATTGTGACAATGAATTCAAATTATAAGTAAGAATGGTTTGGGGTCTATAGCAATTTGCTTAGTGGGCCCTGAATAATATGAATTTATCAAATCAATCAATCAACCTTTGGAACCAAGTTGAACCTAAAATGAGAATTCTCCCACAAAAGTTAATCTTAAAAGAGAATATAGCTTTATATAGGATACGATGCTTGGGAAAGCTTTGTTTAAAGTGCAGAGAAAAACCTGAATACATATCTTAAATGAAACCCTTTAATAGTCTGCCTATGTCTGTATGTTCTATCATCACAAACTTAAGTGAAACTCCAAATTTGAACAATCATATTCGATCCCAGCATCCAGAGTCAGAAAAGAGGCAGAGGAGCTATGAAGTGGCTCAGGCAATAACCAGAGTCAGCATTTGTTGGGTGCTTACAGGTACTGGCACCATTCTAATGTATGTTATTAACTCATTCAAGTCTCAGAACAAAGTGATGCTGTAGACGCTTACCATCCTTATTTTACAGATGAGGTAACTGAGTCAAAGAGAGTCCAGTTAACTTTCCTAATAAGTGCTGGAGAGGGAATTAGATCCCAGGTCATCTGACCCTGGCCCTACACACTTATCCATTTGGTACTTCTGCAGTAGGAGGATGCTGCTTTCCCATGTTGCTTTCCCAGATGGGGCAAGTGTGCAGAGGAAGGAACTGGAGGCCAGAAGTTTAAACTGGAACACAGTGGCACTAGTATTAGAGAGAGAATTCTAGAGAAACATACTAAGGAAGAGTGGAGAGTGCTCTGGCCCTTGGTTCTATCCCTACTCTTGATTTATGGTATTAACTAAAACCATGTAATGCGCTCCCATCCCCAATGTTCAAGTGTCCTATCTGTTGTCTGGTAAATGAGGCAAGGTCTACTGATAACCCTAATACACAAACTAGACACCTGCTATAGTTTAAACTGTGTCCATCTGATTAAAATAGTTTATTTAATAAACATTTATTGGGCATTTCCTATGTATAAAACACCTTAGGAGGTACTACTAACAGATAAACTTCAGGAAGGAGGCAAGATCCAGAAAGGAGAATCAGGTTGCAAGAAGTAATGTGAGAAGAAAAAATTGCAAGTGGGAGAAAAACCTAAATCAAGATAACTGTGTAAACAATAATAATACACATGTAGGAGTATAAGCATAAGGTAAAAACCCAAAAACGGGACAATCCTAACATATAAGGTGGGAAATATAGGAGAATTCACTTGAAACTTCCTAAGATCCTTTATCATCCAGAAGAGAGTGGAGAAACATTATTGCTAAGTTATAATAATTTTTAGCCAATTCTCAAGTTAACAACGTAAGGGTAATAACTAAAAAATATGAACAGATTACTTTCAGATCTGTATTGGTGCTAGCCATGGGGAGGGATTGTTCAAATATTATCAGTCTGCTGGAAGACAGAAAAGGTTTAGAAGAAGAAGAAAAAGAAGAAGAAAGAAAAAAGCACAATACATGTTTTTAAAAAACACAAAATTGAGTGGGAAAAAGAAACCCAAATATATCATTAATTACAATAAGCATGAATGTATTAAAATTGCAATTATAGCACAGGATTTTTCAGAGCAGAACTATCAAAAATTCAATTGTATGCTGTTTATAAGAGTCACATAAAAAGTATGAGACTACAGCAAAAGGCTGAAAAAAACAACAAAACTGAGATTTTAAAAATAAAAAAATATGCCTAGAAAATGCTAACCAAAATCTGCTTAAGTTCTGTAAAACATTTTTGAGAATAGCAACAGTTGCTACTAACCGTAAAATGAACCATTTACCAGAAATACCAAAATAAATGTTGTAAACTAATGCACAGCCAATAACATAGCTTAATAATATAGAAAATCCTGATAGAATTATAAGAAGAAATCAACAAATTCACAATAACCCTAGATGGCTGAGCACCCTCACAGCAGTTATTTGATCAAATTGACCAAAAGTCAATAAGGACATTAAACATTTGAACAGTATTCACAAGTTATTACCTGTGCAACCCTTCTCCCCCAAATTAGAGAACCCACATTCTTTTGAAGAAACTATGGAATATTTACATTACTATACCAGGTCATGGGCCAAAAAGCAGTTCTCAACAAGCACCAGAAAACCTGCATTAAGCAGACCACATTCCCTGAATATAATTAGAAATGAGTAACAAAAATAATATGATCCAACTCAGGATCTGCCCTTCTTGTGCCTGGAAATTTTTAAAATACATACTTCTAAATAAGAAAAAGTAGTAACAGAAATGTACAGGTTTTAGTGCTCAATTCCAGTAAAAATGCTATACATAAAACTTTAAGCAGTAATTACAAGGAAATTCATCACATTAAGTATGTATTTTTCAAAAGAAAAAATGGAAAATAAATAAGTAAGCATTCAACTTAAGTTTTTAAAAGTATAACTATATAAACCAGAAGAATATAGAAACTACCAGATAATAAAATCACATAAATTAAGTAGAAAAAGTAAGGATATATGAAAATAATAGCTAATAAGGAAAGACAATTTCTTCGCAAGGAAAAAAGTGATAAAGAATTTTTAAAGTGATAAATAATATTCAGACAACCAAATAACAAGTAAGAACCCTTGGTAATTAAAAATATGATTGTGAAATTAAAGGAGAAAGTCAACCAGATTTACTTAGGGAATTAGGCTGGGTGGGGGGAGGGAATCACCAGGAAGTGGACCAAAAAACAAAGAGATTGAAAATGATTAATAAAATTTAAGAAATTTGGGAAGACAAATACCTAAGTAATGAGCTTCAGGAAGATAGAATAGGGAATTGTCAAAGAACCAATATAGGGAATATTCTTTTTAGCGGAAGACATAAATATCTGGATTTACAGATCCACAAAATTGGAAAAGATCTATATCAAAACACAAAAATCAAGAAACTTTAGAACACCAGTAAAAAAGAAAAGATTCTATAATTCTGCTGAAATCTAAAATAGCTCTAACAACAATTATGAAATAGGGTGTCATTAGATTTCCTAACACTGGAAACGATAAGAAAATGGCTTAATGTTATCAAAATTCTAGAGAAAAAAATGGTTTTGACCTGGAATTCTATAAATAGTCAAGCTATTAATTAAAATGCCAAAGTAAATAAAGTTATTTTCAACATTCAAGATCTCAAAATTATATTATCATGTGATGTTTTTCAGGCAGTAGTCTTCACCAAAACAGAAGAGTGAACCAATCAAAGGAATGCCTTGGGTTCCAGGAAACAAAGGCTCAAACACAGCAGAGACCAGGGAAATTCCCAGGAGAGGAGGGAGTCCTAGGACAACAAGCTGGAGAGATGAGTGTCCAGGTTAGAGCAGGACCCAGGAATTAGGCCACCAAGCAGAAAATCAAACTAATAGACTACCTGATGTGGTCAGCTTGTTCAGACATAATTTTTAGTTCTGCCAGAAAAAATAAAATAAAATAAAAAATAAAAAATATATATGATATAAATTAATGATTAGAACAAAAACTGATCAAGGAAAAATTGAGGCAAGTTTTAATTCAAGGGGAGAAAGATGTGCATGAAAGATGAAATGCTGGTGCACTAAGTAACTCACCTTTGAATAATATTTACATGGCACAACAATATAAACCCTGAGATTTATTTTTACCCCAAATGGTGATGTAAAGGTATGTTAAATGAGAGAATGGGTGTGTAGGAGACAGATGTGGGTGGGTGTATAGATCTAAAAATTCATTTTCCAAAGATAATAAAAGTGAAAAACTGAAAAAGAGCATTTTAATCAGTTTATTTAGATTAATAAAGATATGTGTCAGATGAAGCAGCTAAACTACTTAGAAGTAGCTGCACAGTAAAGCACTATCTAGAGAAGAATGGGTAAGAGTCTAACATTTTTCAATATAGGCCCAGGGGAAAAATTTACAATTTAAATTTATGCATATACATAACTATTTGATAAAAAATATAAGCTATAAAACATTGATTTAAAAAAAAGGCATACCTAGAGAGAGAATAGAGACTCTAAAATCATAAGAAAACACCATAAGAAAGCTTTATTTCAATAAATTTGAAAACAGCATAGACAACATCACAGAAAAGTTTAACAAAAATAACTTAATAGAAATAAAAACCTGAACAGAGCTAAACCATTTTAAAAAACTGAAGCAATAATTAAAAATCCACCAGGGAAAAAAAGAAACCCAGTACCAGAACTATTTTGTATAAACTGTCACAGAGACAAGGATAGCAAAGGAAAAGAAAGAAAGGAAAGAAAAGCTCCCAATCTTTAATGAGATTGGCCAAACCTTGACATCAAAACCAGGCAAGGACAATATGAGACAAAAATTATTGGCCAATTTCACGTTTTGAAAATAAAATGCACATTAAAATATCATAATAAAAAAAGAATCACATCAGTGACCAAGATGATTTAAAATCAGAAAAGCTATTAATGCAATTTATCATACGATCATCTCAGTAGATGTATACATATTTAATAAAATCGAATTTATGTTCATGATTAAAGCAAGCATCTATATGCACACACTTAGCAAACTCAGACTAGAAAAGAACTGCATTGACTTAATAACGGATATCTAAGAAAGCTCTACAGCAAATGTCCGACATTAGCAGTAAAATGATCCTTTGTCACCACTTATATTCAATACAGAACTGGATATGTTAGCTAATAGAACAAACGTTTATTAGAAAGGAAAAAGCGTGGCTCAGTAGGTTTAGCATCCAACTCTTGATTTTGGGTTGAGGTCATGATCTCAGGGTCGTGAGATCAAGCCCCACATCAGGCTCCCTGGAGCCTGCTTAAAATTCTCTCCCTCTCCCTTTGCCCCTCCCAACCTCAGCTCACACTCACTCTCTCCATCTCAGGAAAAAAAAAAAAAAAA